ACCAAGGCCTTCGACACCATTAGTAGAGAGGGCCTTTGGAGAATCATGGCGAAGTATGACTGCCCAAAGACGTTTATCGCCATTGTACGCCAACTTCACGATGGAATGCCGGCCAGAGTCCAAGACAACGGAGAGACGTCTAAACCATTCCCAGTCTCAAATGGAGTGAAACAAGGCTGCGTGCTTGCTCCCACCCTGTTCAGCCTGATGTTCTCAGCCATGCTTACAGACGCGTTCAGGGACACAGACGCAGGAATCGGCATCGGGTACTGTACAGATGGGTCTGTCTTCAACCTCAGGAGGCTTCAAGCAAAAACCAAGGCTGCAACTGACACCATCAATGACCTGCTATTTGCTGATGACTGCGCCCTCAATGCTGCTTCAGAAGCCGCCATACAGCACAGTGTTGACAAGTTCTCTGACGCCTGCAACAATTTCGGGCTGACAATCAGTACAACCAAGACTGAAGTGATGCACCAGCCTGCTCCGGGAAAGACGTATGTTGAGCCAAACATCACCATCAACGGGCAGCGACTGAACACCGTAGACAAATTCACCTACCTCGGCAGTACCCTTTCCAGAAACGTTGTCATCGATGATGAGGTGAATGCCAGACTTGCTAAAGCCAGTGCTACCTTCGGCAGGCTTCACAAGAATGTATGGAACCGAAGAGGCATCACCACAAGCACCAAGATCAAGGTGTACAGAGCCATAGTCCTCACCACACTTCTCTATGGCTGCGAAACCTGGACTCTCTACAAATGTCACGCCAGAAAGTTGAACCACTTTCACACCACACGGCTCAGAAAAATTCTTGGCATCAAATGGCAAGATAAGATCCCAAACACAGAAGTGCTGACTACAGCTGGCCTGCCTAGCATCTACACCATCCTAATGCAGACACAGCTTCGCTGGGCAGGTCACGTTGCTCGCATGCCAGACCTCCGGCTGCCAAAGAAACTTTTGTTTGGCGAACTGCAGCATGGAAAGCGCTCTCAAGGGGCCAAAAGAAGCGCTATAAGGACACCCTTAAGACTGCTCTGAAAGCTTTCAGCATCAACCACACCATGTGGGAGCTGATAGCTCAGGACAGGAATGACTGGCAAGCAGTTGTCCAGAAAGGGGCAACATCCTGCGAGGCAAGCAGAATCTCACTAGCTGAGCAGCGCAGGCAGGCGAGGAAGACCAGAGCCATCAGACCCCTCGATGCCGACACTCTTCCCTGTCCACACTGCCAGAGAACGTTTCGTGCGTGGATTGGCCTGACAAGTCATCTGCATACCCACCAACTTTGACCCCAGGATGACTAGATGGTCCTCGTCGAATCGATGGACAAACAACAAACAAACAAGTAGAAGTAGCAAGACGTACCTGTAATCTTGCATATTTATGAGACAGACAAAAGACACCAGCAATTGTACCATCATGTAAAACAATTACAGGCTTATGTTTTACACTCACTTGGCAGGACGGTAGTACCTCCCTGGGTGGATTCAACGGACTTATTCCCCTATAATTTTTACACACTCTTTTGTTCTCTTTTGTGTATATATGAAACTCCTTGAAGCACGGTGTAAGATGAGTGTCACTCCACTGCTCTCAGTGCAGCACTCTGATATTGATGACTGTGCACTGCTCCAATGAACCTTGGCTTTATTTGTTTCACTGTTTAACATAAACATGTCTGTCGATCTGTTTGTCTGTCTGTCTGTCTAGCTCTGTCTCTGCTTATCTGTCTTTCTGTCTGCCTATGTGTCTGTCTTCCTGTCTCTCTGTCTGCTTGTCTCAGAGAGAGAGCCACTCATGAACCAATAGGTATTACACACAATGCAGAGTCATCATGTTTGATTCCTGATCAAGTGAAAATGCGTATTACTTGCCAGTCATGTTTATTATGCCTGATATCTATAAGCACAGTATAGAACTTGGTCTGGATTTTTTTTTTTGGGTTATCCTAGGTAATTTACACTATGTATAATAACTGTATTTATGTGTACCTGTGAGATATAGACAGAGACAGAGATAGATACAGACAGAGATTGATAGAGACAGAGATAGATACAGACAGACGGAGATAGAGACAGCCAGCTACCCAGCCAGCCTGCCAAACATGTATTACACGTTTCAAATTGTTTCTCTTTACTTAGGGCATGGGTTATAGGACATTCTGGCAGGATGACACTACCAGTGGTATCAAAATGGAAAGGATATTGCACAAATGTTGCACATGGGTTAGTATAGAGGTTTTTGATATTTCCTTGACCACTTGTGCCCACATCCATGTTAAAGCCACTAAACTCAGGGTTAGCATCACTTTCCTCTTAAAAGGGGAGTCTTAATACAACATGACATCAGTGAATCCCTGGTGTTTGCTTTGCTGTTTCCACTAGTTGGTGCTCCCACGAGGTACTAAGTGGTCCCAGAGTTTTTTTTAATGCTGTGCACACCAAGTGTTAAGACCCATTCTATACTGACAAGGCATCTCAGGCCAATCGTGCCAAATTTGAAGGCAGGAAAAATAAAATGTTGATCTATGTTTGGAGTGCTTGCAGTAGCAACATAGATCTACATATGGACAGTTAATGGGTTGAAGTGTAGGCATTGTGTAAGGAATCTCCCGTATGAAGATAGACTTAAAGCCTTAAATCTCCACTCTCTGGAGAGACATAGAATGAGGGGAGATATCATTGAAGTGTATAAGTGGATGACGGGCATAAACAAAGGAGATATTAATAAAGTACTGAGGGTGTTGAACCAGGTACGAACCAGGAATAATGGATTTAAGTAAAGGTAGAAAGTTGAAAGTGAACATAGAAAAGAGTAAGGTGATGAGGGTATCAAATGATTTAGATAAAGAAAAATTGGATATCAAATTGGGGAGGAGGAGTATGGAAGAAGTGAATGTTTTCAGATACTTGGGAGTTGACGTGTCGGCGGATGGATTTATGAAGGATGAGGTTAATCAGAGAATTGAGGAGGGAAAAAAGGTGAGTGGTACGTTGAGGTATATGTGGAGTCAAAAAATGTTATCTATGGAGGCAAAGAAGGGAATGTATGAAAGTATAGTAGTACCAACACTCTTATATGGATGTGAAGCTTGGGTGGTAAATGCAGCAGCGAGGAGACGGTTGGAGGCAGTGGAGATGTCCTGTCCAAGGGCAATGTGTGGTGTAAATATTGTGCAGAAAATTCGGAGTGTGGAAATTAGGAGAAGGTGTGGAGTTAATAAAAGCATTAGTCAGAGGGCAGAAGAGGGGTTGTTGAGGTGGTTTGGTCATTTAGAGAGAATGGATCAAAGTAGAATGACATGGAAAGCATATAAATCTATAGGGGAAGGAAGGAGGGGTAGGGGTCGTCCTCGAAAGGGTTGGAGAGAGGGGGTAAAAGAGGTTTTGTGGGCGAGGGGCTTGGACTTCCAGCAAGCGTGCATGAGCGTGTTAGATAGGAGTGAATGGAGATGAATGATACTTGGGACCTGACAATCTGTTGGAGTGTGAGCAGGGTAATATTTAGTGAAGGGATTCAGGGAAACCGGTTATTTTCATATAGTCGGACTTGAGTCCTGGAAATAGGAAGTACAGTGCCTGCACTTTAAAGGAGGAGTTTGGGATATTGGCAGTTTGGAGGGATATGTTGTGTATCTTTATACGTATATGCTTCTAAACTGTTGTATTCTGAGCACCTCTGCAAAAACAGTGATAATATGTGAGTGTGGTGAAAGTGTTGAATGATGATGAAAGTATTTTCTTTTTGGGGATTTTCTTTCTTTTTTGGGTCACCCTGCCTCGGTGGGAGACGGCCGACTTGTTAAAAAAAAAAAAATTAGATTTAGCAAGGACATAGGTAAATACTGGTTTTCTAACAGAGTTGTGGATGCGTGGAACAATCTTCCCAGTGGGGTGATCGAGGCTAGGACCTTGGGTAGCTTTAAGAAGAGATTGGACAAATATATGAGTGGGAGGGGCTGGGTTTGATTGGTGTCATTGGGTACGGGAGTTAATTCTTGAGTAGCTTTGAGTAGAGGTCATTTTGATAAGGATCTGCCTTGTATGGGCCAGTAGGCCTTCTGCAGTGCTCCTCCATTCTCATGTTCTTATGTTCATTCTGCTTCCCCACCTCCAGGACTCAAGTCTGGCTAACCTGTTTCCCTGAATTCTTTCACAAAATATTACCCTGCTCACACTCCAACAACTCATCAAGTCCCAAAATCCATTTGTCTTCACTCACTCCTATCTAACACGCTTACACATACCTGCTGTATGTCCAAGCCCCTTGCACACAAAACCTCTTTTACTCCCTGCATCCTTTCCAAAGATGACCCCTACCTCTCCTTCCCTCCACTACAGTTTTATACACCCTCCAAGTTATCCTGCTTTGCTTCATCCTCTCTAAATGACCAAATCATATCAACAACCCCTCCTCAGCCCTCTGAATAATACTTTTAGTAACTCCATATCTCCTAATTTCCATATTATGAGTTCTCTGCATAATATTTACACCACCCATTGCCCTTAGACACGACATCTCCACTGCCTCTATCCTCCTCCTCGCCGCAACATTCACAAGCACTGCTTCACACTCACATCAGAGTGTTGGCACCAGTAAACTCTCATATATTCCCTTCTTTGCCTCCATGGATAATGTTCTTTGTCTCCACAACTACCTCAGTGCCACCACCCACCTTTTTTTCTTATTTCCATGGTTTACCTTGTTTTTATAAACCCATCAACAGACAAATCTTCTCCCAAATATCTGAACACCTTCACTTCTTTCATACTCTCTCCATCCAATCTGATATCCAACTTTTTCTTATGCAACTCATTTGATACCCTCATCACCTTACTCTTATTATTATTGTTATGGTTATTATTTTTATGTTAAATTTTGAGTGTAGATATTAGGTAGTAGAGGCAGTGAAGAGAGTATTGCATACTATTACATAACTCTTGAAGGCTAGAAACCACTGCCATTATTTGTACTCAACGAACACACAATTTCAGGTGGTGGAACAGTACCTACCAGAGTGCCACAGTTTCATTGGTGGTGTGCTTGTGCAGATCAACTGGAGCAAGGTACTGCAGGCAGCTCTCACATCTCACACACCTGCTGACCTCCCTCTCACTCCAGATATTCACCAGTAAGACGCATTAGTAGAAACACTTAGTATTTTAGACTAGCAATGAGAAAATAGTTTCTTCCTCTTATGTAGCAGTATATGAAAAGATCTCGCAATTTACATATTTTTTAATATATTTTTCCCAAAGGATCCCTTTTTCTTTGGTCTTGTGTAGAATCATCTCCAGATGTTTCAGATCTCTTCCTGAATTGTAAACTGTTGAAGGAAAACCTGAAACATTTGTCAAAATACTTCTAAGTAATAAAGTACATGTGCAACACTTGCATAAATTTATTGATGAATAAGACACATGTGAAACACTATCGTGTTATTATTGTGAATACATTGTCTTAGTGTACTCATGGCACCTCTGCTTTTCATAAGGGGTGTTGTCCACCATCTAACAAGCCTCTTGCTTTCATAGGGAGTGATTTTTGTGAGCAGATTAAGGACCAGTCCCCTTTATAATTTACTAAGGTTAAATTATAATTCAGTATATCTTTCTTGCCTCTGCCTCAAAGAGTATGGATTGAAGGACTTCAAACATTCCCAGTAATTTACTTTCTTCGCATTTTGTATATCACTTATGCATCACTGCAAATAAATGATCCAACAACCTTTCAGAGGCTGGGTTGTGATCCAACATGTGTGTACTGAAATACAATATTGTGTTTCATTACTATTGAAAGTGGTTATAACTTCTTCTTTGAACAAACTGGCCATATCTTACCAAGGATGGTTATAACTATGACCATAATTTTTAAAGTGGTAGACTGGTAAGCCAGTGAAAGGCCTAAGTCACATGACCAAAAACTCCAACTGCAGGTCATCATCTGGCTAAGACCTGCGTCAGGAAATGCTTGTCCTGTTTTCTGACGAGCTTTACCTAACCTAACCTAACCTGCGTTTCAAGTTTTACAAACAAATGCAAACTATGCAAACTTTATTTCCTTCTGCAGTCTTACAGAATGTAGTTTGCATGTAATAAAATACTGTTAAACACAAAAGAAAGCCACTAGTTTGCAGTGCTTTTCACACAATATATTTTTGCATTAACAAGGCATTTTTGATCAGTCTTGTGTACATGGAGGTGAATTAACTTTTAAGAAAACTTTATACCAGCAGAGACCATAAGCAACAACACAGTCCTGCCAACATGACAAGCTGCAACCCTTCACAGTCTGCTGCTAAAATGCACATGTACCTCCTAAATCTTCTAGTGAGGATATCTATGGAACCTAGTGTGAGACAGGTAAGTTTAGATGTACAGTATTTTTTTTTTTTGTGATGCTTTTCTAGTTATAGTTTGTTAGTCAAATTGATAAAACTTTCTGAGCATCTTTGGTGTTTAATCCATTCACTGTTGAGATCTCTGCTCACAAACTTGCTCTCAGTGTCGAAGAATATTCCCCCCCCCCACACACAAATTTCTTATGAAATGACAGAGAATCTTTTCTCTTTGGTAATGACACCAAAAGTACAAAATTTGATGGATCTCACAAAGTTAGCAGTCTTGGCGATGTATGTATATGCATCGGCGATTTCACCCACTTTGAGCCCTAATTTTGGCCAATTCCGTTGTTCCAGTCGACCAAACTCATAGCCCACTTACCGATTTCAACTACCCAGAACATTTCCACTACTGAGCTCAATTTCAAGGTACTTTTCATCGTGAAACCAATCAAAATCATCCCCATTTCTGTAATATATCTTCCATTCTATCAAATGAGACCATACGAAAATACACCTCAGAGTCAGTGTTTTAAACCAAAAACGTGGTCAGATTTTTTTTTTTTCTCATTATCCACTGAGTGCTGCAGGATTTTTTATATACTGCACACACTGGACACTCAGACCCATTCTCTCACATATACGTCTACCAGTTTTCTCCCGCTAGATTTGAAGCCGCTAGAATTTTGGTGTATTAATACGGCACCAACACTGGCTTGTAAGCCGTACTGATATGACACCGACAGTGAAAGGGTTAAATACTGTAGTGACAAATTACCTATTCAATAGGGATAGGATGATGGTAAATTTTTGCTGATATCAATGCTGATATAATTACCTCTTCAGTAGGGATAGGATGATACCAAAATTTTTGCCAATTTCAATGCCAATACTCAGTGATAGGGATTGGATGGGATGATACCAGAATGTGTGTCGGTGATACATTCCCAGTATTTTTTTTATTCGTAAAATTATGAACTATGTTCAGTATATAAGGGAATGCTTATTGATCAGTAGGTATTAACCCTTTGACTGTTTTGGTGGTATATATACGTCTTACGAGCCAGTGTTTCGGATGTATATACAGTGGAACCTCAAAAATCGAACTTTCTTCGGTCCAGAAGGCTGTTTGTGTGCCGCTACTGAATGAATTTATTCCCATCAGGAATAATGTACATTAGTCCATTTCAGACTCTCAAAAATACACTTATAAAAGAACTTACAAAAATATACTTACATAACTGCTTGAGTTGGGAGCAGTTCGATTTTTGAGATTCCACTGTATACTCAATAATTGTAGCGGCTTCAAATCAAGCAGGAGAAAGCTGGTAGGCTGACATGTGAGAGAATGGGTCTGTGTGGTCAGTGTGCACCATATAAAAAAAATCCTGCAGCACGCAGTGCATGATGAGAAAAAAAAAACTGACTGTTTTTTTGGATTAAAACGCCGACTTTGAGGTGTATTTTCGTATGGTATTTATCATTGTATTTTCATTTTCATGGTCTCACATGATAAAATGGAACACATGTTACAGAAATAGAGATGATTTTGATTAGTTTCCCGATGACAACGACCTTGAAATTGAGCTCAAAGTAGCGGAAATGTTCAATTTTTACCATTGTTCAAGAGTAAGCAAATCACACCACACGTCCAATACACTTCAACTGGGGAGTCTAATATTTTTCACTAGTGCACTGATATTATTTATACCATTTTTACAATAATTCAGTAGTCTGCATAACAGTATATCTTCTATCTTTTGTATGAATAAGAAATCAAAATAGAAAGCAATAGTAATATAAGAGGGGCATAGAGACGTGACTAATGAACAGAGGATATGTTATTTTAGTGCCAAGAATCTCTACATTGTTTATTCTGGACTCTATTTTGAAATTGGCATCTTTTTTAATTTGTGTGAAATTGGCCAATTTGGGTAGTTCAAATCGGTGAATGGGCGGTTTCTTGTACTCAAGTGATAGAAAAAATGGAGTTCTAAAGAAATAGCTATGAGTTTGGTCAACTGGAACAATGGAATTGGCCAAAAATAGGGCTCAAAGTCAGCGAAATCACCGATGCGTATATGTCACCGAGACTGCTAACTTTGCAGGAGCGTAATTCCATGAGTTTTTGACCAAATTTCGTACTTTTGGTGTCATTACCATCGGGAAAAGATTCTCTATCATTTCATAAGAAAAAATTATAATTTTTTTTTTTTCCAAAAATTTTTTGACATAGAATGAGTTTCAGAAAGGGGCCTGCAACAGTCAAAGGGTTAAATAACCTAGGGGGATAATTAGTAAATAATTATTGTTGAGATACCAGTGTCATTATTCATTTCTAATTATAGGCACTATCATGAGGCTTACAAATTAAAAAAAAAGTGTTTAAGCCTAACTATATATTTAGTAATTTGATGAAGAGACAATCAGAACTAAATTACAAAAATAAAAATCTAAACATAATACTCTTTATTTGAATCTTTAAAATGTATTTAAAAAATTGAAAGAAATGTACTTATTGTAATTGGAAATTGAAAAGCTAAAATTATAGTTCGGAACTTGAACAACTATTCTCTATTCTTAACCCTTTGAGGGGTCCAGACCCTTGATGTAAAACTTGTCCTCAGAATCCAAGAATTAAAAGAAAAATTCTCATGGGATGATAATCCTTTTCCAGAGGTAATGAAACCAAGAATATGGCTGTAAAAAAAATCATTCAAAAATACACCACAGAGTCACTACAGTATTTTAAACCAAATACTTATTTTTTTTTTTATTATCACACCGGCCGATTCCCACCAAGGCAGGGTGGCCCGAAAAAGAAAAACTTTCACCATCATTCACTCCATCACTGTCTTGCCAGAAGGGTGCTTTACACTACAGTTTTTAAACTGCGACATTAACACCCCTCCTTCAGAGTGCAGGCACTGTACTTCCCATCTCCAGGACTCAAGTCCGGCCTGCCGGTTTCCCTGAATCCCTTCATAAATGTTACTTTGCTCACACTCCAACAGCACGTCAAGTATTAAAAACCATTTGTCTCCATTCACTCCTATCAAACACGCTCACGCATGCCTGCTGGAAGTCCAAGCCCCTCGCACACAAAACCTCCTTTACCCCCTCCCTCAAACCCTTTCCTAGGCCGACCCCTACCCCGCCTTCCTTCCACTACAGACTGATACACTCTTGAAGTCATTCTGTTTCGCTCCATTCTCTCTACATGTCCGAACCACCTCAACAACCCTTCCTCAGCCCTCTGGAAACAGTTTTGGTAATCCCGCACCTCCTCCTAACTTCCAAACTAACGAATTCTCTGCATTATATTCACACCACACATTGCCCTCAGACATGACATCTCCACTGCCTCCAGCCTTCTCCTCGCTGCAACATTCATCACCCACGCTTCACACCCATATAAAAGCGTTGGTAAAACTATACTCTCATACATTCCCCTCTTTGCCTCCAAGGACAAAGTTCTTTGTCTCCACAGACTCCTAAGTGCACCCACTCACTCTTTTTCCCTCATCAATTCTATGATTCACCTCATCTTTCATAGACCCGTCGCTGACACGTCCACTCCCAAATATCTGAATACGTTCACCTCCTCCATAACTCTCTCCCTCCAATCTGATATTCAATCTTTCATCACCTAATCTTTTTGTTATCCTCATAACCTTACTCTTTCCTGTATTCACCTTTAATTTTCTTCTTTTGCACACCCTACCAAATTCATCCACCAATCTCTGCAACTTCTCTTCAGAATCTCCAAGAGCACAGTGTCATCAGCAAAGAGCAGCTGTGACAACTCCCACTTTGTGTGTGATTCTTTATCTTTTAACTCCAGCCTCTTGCCCAAGGGCCCTCGCATTTACTTCTCTTACAACCCCATCTATAAATATATTAAAAAACCACGGTGACATCACACATCCTTGTCTAAGGCCTACTTTTACTGGGAAAAAATTTCCCTCTTTCCTACATACTCTAACTTGAGCCTCACTATCCTCGTTTAAAAAATCTTCACTGCTTTCAGTAACCTACCTCCTACACCATACACTTGCAACATCTGCCACATTGCCCCCCTATCCACCCTGTCATACGCCTTTTCCAAATCCATAAATGCCACAAAGACCTCTTTAGCCTTATCTAAATACTGTTCACTTATATGTTTCACTGTAAACACCTGGTCCACACACCCCCTACCTTTCCTAAAGCCTCCTTGTTCATCTGCTATCCTATTCTCCGTCTTACTCTTAATTCTTTCAATTATAACTCTACCATACACTTTACCAGGTACACTCAACAGACTTATCCCCCTATAATTTTTGCACTCTCTTTTATCCCCTTTGCCTTTATACAAAGGAACTATGCATGCTCTCTGCCAATCCCTAGGTACCTTACCCTCTTCCATACATTTATTAAATAATTGCACCAACCACTCCAAAACTATATCCCCACCTGCTTTTAACATTTCTATCTTATCCCATCAATCCCGGCTGCCTTACCCCCTTTCATTTTACCTACTGCCTCACGAACTTCCCCCACACTCACAACTGGCTCTTCCTCACTCCTACAAGATGTTATTCCTCCTTGCCCTATACACGAAATCACAGCTTCCCTATCTTCATCAACATTTAACAATTCCTCAAAATATTCCTTCCATCTCCCCAATACCTCTAACTCTCCATTTAATAACTCTCCTCTCCTATTTTAACTGACAAATCCATTTGTTCTCTAGGCTTTCTTAACTTGTTAATCTCACTCCAAAACTTTTTCTTATTTTCAACAAAATTTGTTGATAACATCTCACCCACTCTCTCATTTGCTCTCTTTTTACATTGCTTCACCACTCTCTTAACTTCTCTCTTTTTCTCCATATACTCTTCCCTCCTTGCATCACTTCTACTTTGTAAAAACTTCTCATATGCTAACTTTTTCTCCCTTACTACTCTCTTTACATCATCATTCCACCAATCGCTCCTCTTCCCTCCTGCACCCACTTTCCTGTAACCACAAACTTCTGCTGAACACTCTAACACTACATTTTAAACCTACCCCATACCTCTTCGACCCCATTGCCTATGCTCTCATTAGCCCATCTATCCTCCATAGCTGTTTATATCTTACCCTAACTGCCTCCTCTTTTAGTTTATAAACCTTCACCTCTCTCTTCCCTGATGCTTCTATTCTCCTTGTATCCCATCTACCTTTTACTCTCAGTGTAGCTACAACTAGAAAGTGATCTGATATATCTGTGGCCCCTCTATAAACATGTACATCCTGAAGTCTACTCAACAGTCTTTTATCTACCAATACATAATCCAACAAACTACTGTCATTTCGCCCTACATCATATCGTGTATACTTATTTATCCTCTTTTTCTTAAAATATGTATTACCTATAACTAAACCCCTTTCTATACAAAGTTCAATCAAAGGCTCCCATTATCATTTACACCTGGCACCCCAAACTTACCTACCACACCCTCTCTAAAAGTTTCTCCTACTTTAGCATTCAAGTCCCCTACCACAATTACTCTCTCACTTGGTTCAAAGGCTCCTATACATTCACTTAACATCTCCCAAAATCTCTCTCTCTCCTCTGCATTCCTCTCTTCTCCAGGTGCATACACGCTTATTATGACCCACTTCTCGACCCAACCTTTACTTTAATCCACATAATTCTTGAATTTACACATTCATATTCTCTTTTCTCCTTCCATAACTGATCATTTAACATTACTGCTACCCCTTCCTTTGCTCTAACTCTCTCAGATACTCCAGATTTAAAATACATGGTCACATTTTTTTTCCTGTCATGCACTGCATGGGGTAGGATTTTTTTTTTTATGGTGCACACCTGTTGCATAGACCCATTCTCTCATCTCTAGGCCTAAATTTACTTACCTGAGTCTCCATGGGGAAGTGGAAGAGAATTCTTCCTCCATAAACCATGCGTGTCGTAAGAGACGACTAAAATGCCGGGAGCAAAGGGCTAGTAACCCCTTCTCCTGTATACATTACTAGAGCCAAAAAGAGAAACTTTTGTTTTTCTTTTTGGGCCACCCTGCCTCGGTGGGATATGGCCAGTTTGTTGAAAGAAAGCTTATCTGAGTGAGCTGAGCTCATCATGTAATACTACAGCATGGAACATGATTTCAAAGCCATAGTACTATGGCACAGACCTTGTAAGGGTTAATTGATAATCTACAATATTTGTATTTTTGTCATATTTTTGGTCAATTATTTTTGTATAATATTTTTTTTGTATGCCGATTCATCTTTTCAGTCACCTTTACTACAGACATTGCTGCTAGAGGCAGAAATGTTCTCTTGGTGGCTTATAGATGGTGACAGTTTCCAACGTGTTGTTAACTGGTGGGTGATGAGCTGTGACCCACGCATAGTTCTTACTCTGCCAGATCGCAACCCTGTTGATATTGCAATCATTGGGTGAGTCTTGTTAATAACCTTTCTTGGTGTCAATGGTTTATCTGCACTGTGAGTGAAGGAATGTGGATTTGTACGTGTACAGGAGGGCCCCACTTATCAGCACTTTGTATTACAGCATTTTGCTAATGCAGCAGTTTTCAGTTACAGTGGAACCCCGGTTTTCGTCCAGTCTGGTTATTGTACAATTCAGTTTTCGACCACTTTTTTCTGTGAAATTTTCCCCATTTTTGTACAGTTGCTTGAAAATCATCCGTACCAGACGCGGCCGCTCGTACATTCATGACTCAGTCTGCCTTTGTTACTTGCCTGTTGTGGAATCTATTGTGTCTTTGGGGAAGTCCATGGGGTTGGAGGTGAGTGGCCAAGATGTGGAAGAGTTGATGGGCGACCACAGGGAAGAGCTAACCACTGAAGAGCTGCAAGACCTTCATCTGGAACAACAACAGACCTTAGTTGAGGAAATTGCTTCAGAGGAAGAGGAAGAGAGAGGGAAGAATGTGCCTTCTTCAACAATTAAGGACATTTGTGCAAAGTGGAGTGAAGTGCAAAGTTTTGTGGAGAAATATCTCCCTAACAAAGCTGTTGCAAGCCATGTCAGCAACATGTTCAATGACAATGCCATGTCCCATTTAGGCAAATCTTGAAGAGACACCAGAAATAGGCCTCTCTGGACAGATTTTCTGTGCGACAGGGGTCCAGTGACTCTCAAGCTGGTCCTAGTACCAGTAAAAGACAAAGAAAGGAAGTAACCCCGGATAGGGCTTTAATACCTGAAGTCCTTATGGAGGGGGATTTCCCTTCCAAACAATAACCTCTCCTCCCTCTTCCTTCCTTGCCGTCAACCATGTGCCAACAAGAGTCTTCAATAAAGGTAAAAGTTATGTTCAGTGTTCATTTATCCATTTCATTAGTTATTTATATTTATTTCTCATTGTTTTCTGTATGTAAAACTATAGTTCTTCTCTATAAAATATATTTTTTGCTAATATTTTTGAATGTCTGGAATGGATTAATTGGATTTACATTATTTCTTATGGGAAATATTACTTCAGTTTTTGTACAAATCAGTTTATGGCCAACCTTCTGGAACGATTAGAAACGAAAGCCGGGGTTCCACTATAAACCCATTCTTCATTTATTCAGACTTCCTACAATAAATATATCCACCACTCACTATAAACTAAGGATGAAAATATTTTAAGGTAAGTAATGTGTGTACTGTATATGCATTTGAAAGTGATTCACTATACAGTGATTTTTCACTTTAGAGCTGTAGCCTGGAACCTAACCTGCTGTATAAACAGGACCCTCTTATATATGTTAATGGCCCTTCTGGGAGACAGTCGCTTATCTGCACTATGAGTGACGGAATGTGGTTTTGTGTGTACAGTAGGACTCCATATCTATGGGGGATATTTTCTAACGACCTGTCACAGATACCGAAACCACGGATAATGGTGAACTCTATATATAAGTTGTTTTCCATTTACATACATATTATAAAGTTAAAATGATAAACTAGGCACAATAAGTGGAGAATTATCACTTTTACACTGAGTTGAAGCACTTCACAGCTTCTCGGAGCCTTGGAACAGCTTCCACCATCACTACTTTTGCACTTTGAGCCATTATTAAGCAAAATAAGGGTTATTTTTGGGTCACAGTAAACAGCAGATAACTGAAACTGCGGATATCTGACACGTGAATGTGGGGGGCTTCTCCTGTATATGTTAATAACCCTTCTTGACATCAGTAGTTTTTCTGCACTATGAGTGAGAGAATGTAGATTTGTTATGTGTATATACTTGTCATAGAGTGAGCTTGGCAAGGACATGTGGAAAAGGACCCAGTCTCAACCTGCCATTTACAACCTCAGCAAGGACATATAAGATTTTGCCATGTAACAATCCAAGTAGCTTAGCCATTGCGAAGAGCATGACAAATCGAGGGTTCTCTCTGACTATGGAAATTGACCCCCCAAAAAATTTTGAGCATTCCGTGTTTTGTTGCACACATTTATGTACCAAGAAGTTAAATTTCAATTTTGTAGGTACTGCCAATTGCTGCTTATAGCTGAAAAGTCCAAATGATAAACATTGCTGACTTCACCCATATATGTATATGGCCTTTAGTCATTGAAATAACCCTTAAAATTGTTTTCAGCATTAAATGTTGCAAGATTTTTATTTTAATAATTATTCCTCACTGTCCATGTCCCTTACCATCCACCTCCCATACTATCCCTTTTCTGGGTTTAACTATTGTATTGTTCTGTTTTATTTATGGTATTTACAGGGAAAATATTTCAAGTCCTTTTACTCCTTTATCACAAAGTTCTTACTGGTATTCTTGGTTTATGCCATCATTTGTTTTTCTTTTTTTTTTTTTGAAACTTTGTTTTTTCTAATTAAGAATGTACAGTAAAATAATAGCTCAGGTGAACTACAGTGGACCCTCACCTAACGATATTAATTGGTACCCGAGAACGAATATCGTTAGGTGAGCTTTTTAGCATTAGCCGAGGCAAAATGTTAGCATTAAAATGTATCGTTAGACGAATTTAACGTTATGCGATGCATTCATTAGGCGAGGGTCCACTGTATTTTGAATCAGCTGGGTAATGCATGATGCAGTGAAAGACTTGAAGCTACCTGGAGGGTATTCCAGGGATCAACACGCACCCCCCCACCCCCACCCCGGCTTGGTCCATAACCAGTCTAGCACTTAAAATTTGTACATCATACTAAAAAGTGGACACTTCCTCTGATAACATGAGTATAATAATTATGTGGATTAAAGTAAAGGTTGGATGCGAGAAGTGGGTCATAATAAGTGTGTATGCACCTGGAGAAGAGAGGAATGCAGAGGAGAGAGAGAGATTTTGGGAGATGTTAAGTGAATGTATAGGAGCCTTTGAACCAAGTGAGAGAGTAATTGTGGTAGGGGACCTGAATGCTAAAGTAGGAGAAACTTTTAGAGAGGGTGTGGTAGGTAAGTTTCGGGTGCCAGGTGTAAATGATAATGGGAGTCCTTTGATTGAACTTTGTATAGAAAGGCGTTTAGTTATAGGTAATACATATTTTAAGAAAAAGAGGATAAATAAGTATACACGATATGATGTAGGGCGAAATGACAGTAGTTTGTTGGATTATGTATTGGTAGATAAAAGACTGTTGAGTAGACTTCAGGATGTACATGTTTATAGAGGGGCCACAGATATATCAGATCACTTTCTAGTTGTAGCTACACTGAGAGTAAAAGGTAGATGGGATACAAGGAGAATAGAAGCATCAGGGAAGAGAGAGGTGAAGGTTTATAAACTAAAAGAGGAGGCAGTTAGGGTAAGATATAAACAGCTTTTGGAGGATAGATGGGCTAATGAGAGCATAGGCAATGGGGTCGAAGAGGTATGGGGTGGGTTTAAAAATGTAGTGTTAGAGTGTTCAGCAGAAGTTTGTGGTTACAGGAAAGTGGGTGCAGGAGGGAAGAGGAGTGATTGGTGGAATGATGATGTAAAGAGAGTAGTAAGGGAGAAAAAGTTAGCATATGAGAAGTTTTTACAAAGTAGAAGTGATGCAAGGGGGGAAGAGTATATGGAGAAAAGAGAGAGGTTAAGAGAGTGGTGAAGCAATGTAAAAAGAGAGCAAATGAGAGAGTGGGTGAGATGTTATCAACAAATTTTGTTGAAAATAAGAAAAAGTTTTGGAGTGAGATTAACAAGTTAAGAAAGCCTAGAGAACAAATGGATTTGTCAGTTAAAAATAGGAGAGGAGAGTTATTAAATGGAGAGTTAGAGGTATTGGGAAGATGGAGGAATATTTTGAGGAATTGTTAAATGTTGATGAAGATAGGGAAGCTGTGATTTCGTGTATAGGGCAAGGAGGAATAACATCTTGTAGGAGTGAGGAAGAGCCAGTTGTGAGTGTGGGGGAAGTTCGTGAGGCAGTAGGTAAAATGAAAGGGGTAAGGCAGCCGGGATTGATGGGATAAAGATAGAAATGTTAAAAGCAGGTGGGGATATAGTTTTGGAGTGGTTGGTGCAATTATTTAATAAATGTATGGAAGAGGGTAAGGTACCTAGGGATTGGCAGAGAGCATGCATAGTTCCTTTGTATAAAGGCAAAGGGGATAAAAGAGAGTGCAAAAATTATAGGGGGATAAGTCTGTTGAGTGTACCTGGTAAAGTGTATGGTAGAGTTATAATTGAAAGAATAAGAGTAAGACGGAGAATAGGATAGCAGATGAACAAGGAGGCTTTAGGAAAGGTAGGGGGTGTGTGGACCAGGTGTTTACAGTGAAACATATAAGTGAACAGTATTTAGATAAGGCTAAAGAGGTCTTTGTGGCATTTATGGATTTGGAAAAGGCGTATGACAGGGTGGATAGGGGGGCAATGTGGCAGATGTTGCAAGTGTATGGTGTAGGAGGTAGGTTACTGAAAGCAGTGAAGAGTTTTTACGAGGATAGTGAGGCTCAAGTTAGAGTATGTAGGAAAGAGGGAAATTTTTTCCAGTAAAAGTAGGCCTTAGACAAGGATGTGTAATGTCACCGTGGTTGTTTAATATATTTATAGATGGGGTTGTAAGAGAAGTAAATGCGAGGGTCTTGGCAAGAGGCGTGGAGTTAAAAGATAAAGAATCACACACAAAGTGGGAGTTGTCACAGCTGCTCTTTGCTGATGACACTGTGCTCTTGGGAGATTCTGAGAGAAGCTGCAGAGATTGGTGGATGAATTTGGTAGGGTGTGCAAAAGAAGAAAATTAAAGGTGAATACAGGAAAGAGTAAGGTTATGAGGATAACAAAAAGATTAGGTGATGAAAGATTGAATGTCAGATTGGAGGGAGAGAGTATGGAGGAGGTGAACGTATTCAGATATTTGGGAGTGGACGTGTCAGCGGATGGGTCTATGAAAGATGAGGTGAATCATAGAATTGATGAGGGAAAAAGAGTGAGTGGTGCACTTAGGAGTCTGTGGAGACAAAGAACTTTGTCCTTGGAGGCAAAGAGGGGAATGTATGAGAGTATAGTTTTACCAACGCTCTTATATGGGTGTGAAGCGTGGGTGATGAATGTTGCAGCGAGGAGAAGGCTGGAGGCAGTGGAGATGTCATGTCTGAGGGCAATGTGTGGTGTGAATATAATGCAGAGAATTCGTAGTTTGGAAGTTAGGAGGAGGTGCGGGATTACCAAAACTGTTGTCCAGAGGGCTGAGGAAGGGTTGTTGAGGTGGTTCGGACATGTAGAGAGAATGGAGCGAAACAGAATGACTTCAAGAGTGTATCAGTCTGTAGTGGAAGGAAGGCAGGGTAGGGGTCGGCCTAGGAAGGGTTGGAGGGAGGGGGTAAAGGAGGTTTTGTGTGCGAGGGGCTTGGACTTCCAGCAGGCATGCGTGAGCGTGTTTGATAGGAGTGAATGGAGACAAATGGTTTTTAATACTTGACGTGCTGTTGGAGTGTGAGCAAAGTAACATTTATGAAGGGATTCAGGGAAACCGGCAGGCCGGACTTGAGTCCTGGAGATGGGAAGTACAGTGCCTGCACTCTGAAGGAGGGGTGTTAATGTTGCAGTTTAAAAACTGTAGTGTAAAGCACCCTTCTGGCAAGACAGTGATGGAGCGAATGATGGTGAAAGTTTTTCTTTTTCGGGCCACCCTGCCTATAAGAAAGTTCTTATAGTGACTGCCACTCAAAACATTCTCTGAGAAAGTTCAAGCACCAGTGATATGCTCTTGGTGGTTACATGTGCCACAACACAATAGCAGACCAGAGAGGAGAGAGAGCAGGCAGTCTAGCTCGGGTGGGCAAACTGTGGCCCACCAAAGGTTTTCATGCGGCCTGCCAAGATCAAGTCATGTACTCACATATATGCAGCTCACTGAGCAAAACTTTGTTCATTTTCCTGTGTTGAAAATATGAGCTGTTATACAAGCTTTATCAGACAAGTACAGTTCCCAGTTGATGACACTGAAAAGTTTGCCCACCTATGGTCTAGCTTATAGCTTTTGTTTTACTCTTTGTATGAAACAAGGAATCATGCAGAATAAATAGTCTTGCCTTGTTTCCTAGGTAGTAGAACAGTGAAGACAATTCTTTGTATCATAGCTGTGTAGTGAATATAAAACTTTTTTGGTATTGGGGATTGGTCTGTATAAATTGTTTGCTAGTTTCATGCTGAAATATCATAACCGGTATCCTTAAACCCCCTTCATAAATGTTACCTTGCACTTCAACAGTATGTCCATAAAAATTGTCTCCATTCTGTTCCAGTGCTCACTCAAACCTGCTGGATCCTCAGAACCTCCTTTACCACTTCCCTCCAACTGTTCCTGAGACAGTCAATACCATTCCTGTTTTCCACCCCAGACTTGTATACCCTTTTCATAATTCTGTCCTATCCTCCATCCTCTTGGTATACTCAAGCCACTTAAACAATTCCTGATAAGTTAGACACATGTGCAGTACTTGGGAATCTTTATTATGGAAATGTTTCACCATACATTAGCTTCCTCAGCTGCCTAACCTATAGTCATGACCTTCTTCCACTTATGGATTTGTCTAAGGTGACACTGTATACAACTGTTTCACCTCACCTGTCTGCAGTATATAAGTTCCTTCTTCACACATATGCTGTATTCTTATCAAGATTGATGGACTGATTACATAGAGTTTAGGCTGAGCAATGATAGAGTTCAGGCTGAGGGACTGATTACCTTAAACTCCTGATCTTCAACCAGGACTGAGGAAGCTAGTGTGTGGTGAAACATTTCCATAATAAAGATCCCCAAGTGTTGCACATGTGTCTAATCAATCAACTTGTCAGTTCTCTGAACCATTTATCTACATTAAACAATTCCACCTCAGCCCTCTAATTATACGTTTGGTGACCCCACATTGTCTTTTAATTTCTATGTTCTGAATTCTCTGCATGATATTCACACCACATTTCTTACAAACATGACATTTCCATTGCCTCTCCTCACCGCAGCTTTCAAAACTCATGTCTCATAATGTACCATATATTTATATGAAATGCTGAAAGAATAAAAAGGCACAATACCGTGACTTGATATGCATAAATAACCCGTACTTATGAGAGTGAAACTCATGACATTTCGGTCTAACTTGGACCATTAATGTTGCCATTAAGTTTCGTTCTCCTATGTGTGGTTATTTGTGTATTTGAAGTGCTTATCCTGGGTGGGTCATTTTTCACTAGGAATGGGAATGGCTCAGCCCTTCATCCAGAAATCTTGAGACAGACACGATACATACTTGTACCACCTAGTTGTTTACCAAGTAATAGAGCTTGAGATGCTTCTTCCAGGTTACTTCATCGTGCAGCAGGCTACACTCCAGATACTACCTCTTTTCATCAAGACACGGCTGCCAAACGTGGTCTGCTGGTGCGTGCTCTGGTGCGATTGCTGACCTCTGCCGCAGCACGACACAAGGCCCTGCTGGCTGCCAAGCCTCATGTCTTCACTGCCACTATCAAGGGACTTCACTCACACATGGAGAACACACTTATTTCCAGTCAGAACTCAACCTCTTATTTTTTTTTTTTTACTTCTTGTACAGGAGGGCTCCCACATATACAGCACCTTTTTTTGGTATTCTACATTTTTGTTGGTTTTTCAATTGAGCCATTGTTCCACCAGCTGATGAACATTGACAGTGAGTGGAACATGATGAACAATGGCTCAATTTAAAGTCAACAAAAATGTGAAACATTGAAAAGGTACACAAATATTTGTGTATCGTTCCAGTCACGGTATTGTGCCTTTTTGTTATTTATTGAAAAGGTGCTGTATATGCAGGGTCCTCCTTTACTTTTATCAGATTTTTTGTGTGAAAACTCTAAAAATAAAAGTTCCTTGAAAATTGAAAAGCAGAATATGTTCTAGAAATGAGAAAGTTGTTTGCAGAAGCTTTTTGCTATCATAGGAGTTTCTTATCAGTTCTGTAGGAAAATAACAGGAAAAATATGTGAGAATCACAATTTGCTTCCGTCATAACTCCTTGTGATTCTTGTATGTTTTTCCTGTGGCCATAGACTATTCAACATCTTAGCACAAAATGTATATGTGGGTCAGCAGACCACAAGCAGCAACAGCCAGTTGACCAGGCAAGCACTAGACATGCCTGGGCTCCAGGAGTAGAAAAACTTGAACTAATCATAGGTATTTCAAAGGTCAAAGGCGTGGCAATGATGAACCATCCTTAGTATTTACAAGAAACTTTTGCCATTTCTGGAAAGTGTTTTGTTATAAGTTCCATTAAGTAAATTGGTTTGTGATCAATTAAGGTACTTTAAAAATATCAATATCTTAATATTTGTTTTTATGGGGTAGGTTGTGGGAAAGAATTTTCTACATATACATGTACACATGCATAAATTTGTATTCAGTAACCTGATACACATATACTGTACACTGGGGCATTTATACCATGTGAGGTACTGGCACACAGTATCTCTTACATAGTGCAGTTACCCCATTGTATGCTACAGTACAACAATAAACCAAAAAACAGAACACCTAGGACTGAGGCGATGTTCGCTATCTAAAAACTTTTTACAAATAAGCCAGTTTTTTGAGTAAGTAATTTAAAAAGATGAGATTTTTTTTTTCAACATGCTGGCAGTCTCCCACCAAGGCAGGTTGACCCCCCCCAAAAAAAAAAAAAGAAATTCACCATCATTCACACAAATCACTGTCTTTGCAGAGCGCACAGATACAATGGCAATTTAGATGTCACTCTAAACAGCAAATATCCCAAACCCCTTCTTTAGAGTGCAGGTATTGTACTTTCCTCCTCCAGGACTCGAGTCCGGCTAACTGGTTTCCCTGAATCCCTTCACAAAACATTACCTTGTTCACACTCCAACAGCTTATCAGGTCCCAAAAACCATTTGTCTCCACTCTTAACATGCTTACACAGTTTTCTGTATGCCCAAGCCCCTTGTACACATTATTTGCCAGCCCAGTTATCTGAGGATGTTGTGTTTCTGTGGACCACCCATTGCATGATGGCTATTCTGCTCCAGAAAGACCATTAGAGTGCTGGTTTCAGGCAAATTCACTTTTTTGTCTTGATCACCTTGCCTTGATGAAAAAAGACTGATGTAATACTAACTTTAAATATTTTTATTTTTGGTTCCAGCTGTGCCTAAAGATCAGCAGTGGAGTGAGGGAAGTGTGCTGAGTACAGAGGTATTGGCTGTAGTTAGTGGTGGGGCGTCATCAGCAGCTCTGCAAGAACTTGGCACTTCAGCCATAGTAACTTGGCTTATGGAAGAGCCTCATCCTTCTCCTGGTTTACTGTTGCCTCTTCTTGCTTCAGCTTCCCGTGCCATCCTGCACCTTAATCATCGAAACCCCATCCTACAAGCTGGTCTAACTGCTCTCTTCAGACATGCAGGTTAGAGATCATTGTTGTACATAAGAACATAAGAATGGAGGAACACTGCAGAAAGCCTACTGGCCCATACAAGGCAAGTCCTTATCAAAACTACCACTACCCAAAGCTACCCAAGAATTTACTCCCTTACCCACAACACCAATCAAACCCAGCCTCTCCTACTCATATGTTTGTCTAATCTCTTTTTAAAGCCACCCAGGGTCCTAGCCTCTATCACCCTACTTGGAAGATTGTTCCATGCATCCACAACTCTGGAAATATAAACACAAATGCAGTATAATGTGATCCTTTATTGACTACGTTTCGCCCACACAGTGGGCTTTTTCAAGTCACAAACAGAACTACCTGGGGTGGAAGGAAGGCGAGTATTTATAGTCCGGTTCAGAATGCTGAGGTCAGGTGAAGAATGCTGCATCTGATGATGTACCGAGTGGGGTTATAGAGTCTAAAAACTTGGGTAGCTTGGAAAGGAGATTGGATAAGTTTGTGAGCAGACCTTCTACAGTGTTCTTATGTGGGATAGCGATGAAGAAGTTTCAATCGCATTCGCAACATCAACATCAGGAACAAGAAACTTTCCAGCCTTGACGTGACTTCCCTATTCACCAAAGTACCTACTACACAAGCCATCGATCTCTTGCGCAGGAAAATTGACGATTCACTTGATCTTCCCATTCCAGCCAGCGATTTCATCGACCTTGTTGAACTATGTGTTGGCTTTACGTGTTTCTCTTTCGAAAATCACCTCTTTCAGCAGACTTTTGGACTACCCATGGGTTCGCCACTCAGTGCAGTCCTGGCGAACCTATACATGGAACATCTAGAAGCCGAACGTTTCTCCACCATTATTCCTTCGTCTGTCATCTGGCTCTGTTATGTTGACGACATTCTCCTCATAACTCCTAAACGCTTCAACGTTCAAGCTCTCCAAGACAAGCTCAACCAGGTCGAGCCTTCAATCCAGTTCACACTTGAAGAAGTCGACAACACTCTTCCTTTCCTTGATGTCCTGCTCTGCAAAGCTGTCCACGAACTTCGCTTTAAAGTCTATCGAAAACCCACCAACCAAAACGATCTTCTCCACTTCTACTCTCACCACGACACCATAACCAAACATGGTGTAATTATAGGCTTCTTCCTGCGTGCACTCAGAATCTGCAGCAACGAGTTCCTTGAGGAAGAATGCACTATAATTGAACAAATATTTTCTAAACTCCACTATCCTTGTCACTTCATCAGAGACTGCAGATGGCGGGCATTAAACATCTTCAACACACCCAGAGAAGACGCTGCCGAGAAGAGATACATAGTCCTTCCCACCAACTCCATTGCCAAACATGTTTCCAACATCTTTGCCAAAACATCATTTCAAGTATCTACCTCCACAACCACGACCATCAAGGACATCACCAGTAGTAGACAGGACAAGCCTCCATCCTCTGCAGGGGTATACATAATCCCTTGTAATGACTGCAACAAGTTATACGTGGGCGAAACATCAAGGGACCTCCAAACACGTGTTTCAGAACACAAATACGCAAGCAGGTCTGACGACACAAGGAATGCCTGCATACAACACCGTAATTCACACAACCACTTGATAAACTACAGAAACTCAAGACTTATCGCCACAGAAGACAACACTCAATACCGAAGAATCCTGGAATCATCACTTATTTCTATATCCGAAAACTTCAACCAGAATAGTGGCTTCTATAACATAGCTGAACCACTTGCCAAGAAACTTCTTCATCGCTATCCCACATAAGAACACTGTAGAAGGTCTGCTCACAAACTTATCCAAGCTACCCAAGTTTTTAGACTCTATAACCCCACTCGGTACATCATCAGATGCAGCATTCTTCACCTGACCTCAGCATTCTGAACCGGACTATAAATACTCGCGTTCCTTCCACCCCAGGTAGTTCTGTTTGTGACTTGAAAAAGCCCACTGTGTGGGCGAAACGTAGTCAATAAAGGATCACATTATACTGCATTTGTGTTTATATTTCCATTGTGTCGGTATTTTATACCATTTATTTGCATCCACAACTCTGTTGGAAAACCAGTACTTACCTATGTCTTTTCTAAATCTAAATTTATTTAACTAAAATCCATTATTTCTGGTTCTTACCTGGTTCAATATCCTCAGTATTTTATTAATATCTGTTGTTTGTGCCCGTCATCCACCACATAAGGCTCACAAGTAAACAGTGGAAATGCCAGATCAGATAGTCTGTGATGGCTATGTAGGCCTGTACACAAGCAGCAATAGTCTGGCCTCAGTACTCTCAAAACTAGTCACAGAATTGGAAAGTAGAAGGGCTAGTTAGGCATGGTACAGAAGGGAAGAAATAAAAGGAAGTAAACAGGTAAGTAGTTTATTTGTGCATAAAACAAATAAAAAAGTTACTCTTAACCCCTTCAGGGTCCAAGGCCAAAATCTGAAGTGGTGCCCCAGTGTCCAAGAATTTTCAAAAAAAAAAAAAAAAAAAAAAAATTATTTTTTCTTACGAAGTGGTAGAGAATGTTTTTGTGAAGGTAATAAAACAAAAAGTACGAAATTTGATGGAAAACTGACAAAATTATACTCTCGCAAATTTTGATGTGTCAGCAATATTTACGAATCCGCGATTTTGCCGACTTTGACTCCCATTTTAGGCCAATTACATTATTCCAGTCGACCAAATTCTTAGCTATTTCACTAGTATTACTTCTGTTCTATCGATTGAACACAAGAAATCGCCAAGTCAACTGTTTCAACTACAAAATAAAGTGATCGGAAATTGGTAATTTGGCCAATTTAACACAAAGTTCAAAATATTCCAATTTCAAAGTAGGGTCCAGAATGAACAATGTAGGTATTCCTGGCACTAAACTAACATTTCCTCTGTTCATTAGTTATGTTTTGAGGCTTTACAAATAAATTCCATTTTGATTTTTTATTCACATAATGAATTTTTATTCACACCAAAAAATAGAAGATTTACTGTTATGCAATATTGTAATAATTGTATAAATATCATCACCACATTTGTGAATGTATATTAGACCCACCAGCTGGCGTGTATTAGACGTGTGAGGTCATTTGTTTACTCTTGAACATCGGCAAAAATTTAACATTTCCGCTACTTTTAGCTCAGTTTCAAGCCATTTTCAGTGCTAAAATCAATCAAAATCATGTCTATTTCTGTAATATGTCTTCCATTCTATCAAATGAGACCAAGATCTCACAAATACAACTATAAAAAACACGAAAAAACACTGCGAAGTCGCTGTTTTAATAGAAAATCATGGTCTCAGTTTTTTTCTCTCATTATACACAGTGTGCTGCAGGATTTGTTTTATGCGGTGCACACATACCACATAGATGTATTCTCTCATATCTAGGCCCAAATGTACCACTCACAGTTTATCAGTGAGAGCTGAGCTCATGGCGTAGATCTACGGTTTGGACCCTGAACGTAAAGCCATAGATCTACAGGATGGACCGTGAAATGGTTAATATACAGTGGATCTAAAACTTCTTAACTGTTGATAGTTCTAGCTCTCATTGTAACCTTGTCTCACACCAGCACATTGTTGATGGCCAGATTGGTGTTCAGTGCACACAATCTGCTGTAGGCACTACAGCTTGGTTGATCAGTTTTTCCATGACAACAGAGATCTACTGGTAATTCAACTTATAGTTATTCACAAGATAAATGAAACAGAATCCAGAAAAATGACAGGGTTTATGATGAAGACCTTTAAAACAAGAAAAGACTTGCCATTAATCACACTGTTCAAATCATTTGTGCTCACAGCTTGTTTTGAGTCATGAGAGATATCAGAGCTAAGAAAATACACAGGTTTTTTACTGCCCACATTGAAGCAGTAAAATATCTAAACTGCTGGGAATGCCTCAGAGCACTGGTTATGTATATGCTCTGAAATATACATACATGATCATATGTATAGTACACATAGAAAATGCATGAGGGAGTCAGGGCCCTGATCAGCACTACCGTAATAACTGATTGAAGTGAGAAATATAACACAGGAGAAATAGTAAAATAAACCTAGTGAGAAGTAGGTGAAGTAGATACAGCTAAACAATACTGTGTATCTGTGGTCGAAGAGTGACCGATTTTTCACTACTTTCTAGCTTTGCATCATTTATCTCCATTCAGTTTTGCTCTTATTGTATTTCGTGTTTCACAAATGTTGTGTTAACCTTAATATTTTCATGTTGAAAGTTGAGCTTATCAGTGTTACAGTATATTATTCTAAGTTAGTTTCAAGGTGATTTTAATTTTAAGTTAGTCTGAAATTGTTTTTAATTTGGCCAAAATGCATTTCATAACCAGGATCTTTTCCATGCAAGTTATTGCAAAACTTTGTAAATCAACATATCTCTATCTATGTATCTTCAAGGTAAACAATTTTTTGGTTTAATAAACTCCTAGGTAGTAGGTTGGTAGACAGCAACCACCCAGGGAGGTACTACCGTCCTGCCAAGTGAGTGCAAAACGAAAGCCTGTAATTGTTTTACATGATGGTAGGATTGCTGGTGTTTTTATTCTGTCTCATGAACATGCAAGATTTCAGGTACGTCTTGCTACTTCTACTTACACTTAGGTCACACTACACATACATATATATACACACCCCTCTGGGTTTTCTTCTATTTTCTTTCTAGTTCTTGTCTTGTCAATTTCCTCTTATCTCCATGGGAAAGTGGAATAGAATTCTTCCTCCGTAAGCCATGCGTGTTGTAAGAGGCGACTAAAATGCCGGGAGCAAGGGGCTAGTAACCCCTTCTCCTGTATATATTACTAAATTTAAAAGGCGAAACTTTCGTTTTTCCTTTTGGGCCACCCCACCTCAGTGGGATATGGCTGGTGCGTTGAAAGAAAGAAAGAATACTGTGTCTATCTGTGGTCCAAGACATTGAATACAGTGGTACACAATACTGTGTATCTGTGGTCCAAGAATGACACATGGTACAAACTGTTATC